AGTAATTTTTAGCGTTTTGTTTCTCATGAACATTCCAAATTTTTTCAACTTTTTCGTTACTTCCATAAAGAAATAATTACAAATAAATCACACCAACTTGGTGTGCCTTGCCGTCACAATGCAAATGACACGTCCATCAAAATTTGTTCCCTCTAAACGATGTTCGCATTTCTACCGTCGCCAGTGATGCAGCATCAGCTTTGCAGCGTCCCTTGTCCGGCAATCTACCGAAGTTGGATCAGTCGGAGCCGCGCACCAAATTATTATTCGTCCCATTTCATCCCCATTAAGCTCACGTAAATTTTGTTGCCACAAGTTTGGGCGCCTGAAACAAGTTGGAATAAACGAATCTGACCCTGGCGACCGCAAGTGTTTTCTTTTATATTTTTCTGCGGTCTATAAGGGGAGACCCAACTTTTGACGCCCACCCTGACGCTCGTGTGCTAAAAGATCGATGACGAGGAAAAGGATGTGGCAAAACGTCTAGCATCCGTACTGTACTGTCTAGTTTACTGTCTGTACTGTACTATACTGTACTGTACTGTATTGTCAACACGTCTAGCATCCGTACTGTACTGCTTGCGATTCGCTGTTGCTCGAATAGATCAAACAACGTTGATGACACTCAATGGATATTAAGTCGATATTTGTCGCATTTTGAAGCATTTTGAATCGACTAACCGTCTGAGTTTTAGTTCAAACTTAACTGCCCCGGGTTAGGATGTGCAGCTTGTTCGGGTTCGAATATTTTGGTCTTTTCACTTAAGGTTTTGTAGCAGGTGCTTTCATTTTATTGTGTTTCAAATTATGGAACTTCGCTAAGAAAAATTCCGCGATATTAAGTGGAAATTGAGTTCACTTTAGATTGAATTCTTTTTTATATCATGAATTTCGTAATGTTTTGGTCGGAACATGCGCATGGAGAAATGGAACTACATCATTACCAGAAATTCAAGAACTTACAGAAAAGTGAGAGTTCGACATTGATGACAAGTCGACAAACGTCCAATCTTTCATCGTTACTTGCCATTTCAAGGCATAATCAGGCAAGATTTCCGCTTGCTGTTGACTGAGAAACTATCTATTTTAAGGATTTCGCGTGCCTCGAAATCATAACCAGTTTAACCAACCATTTACTGGTCCTCATCAGTCATCACAATAATTGTTTGTTCTTACATTGTAATTTTGGAGCAGGTCCAGTTTCTTTAGCAATCTCGAATGACATTCTTATATAGAATTAATCCTGTTGAAATTTCTGCTCTGAAAAGAGTAGAGTTTTGATTGATTATGTTTGTATAGAACGTCATACAATATTCGAATGATTGATAATGTATATTGAAAGCTATTGGAACCTGCAGGAAATGGGATACAGATGATAATATGAATATAGTCACAACACTCGGGAGCTTAACGGACGAAGTTGGTAAGAATGTTGGGAAGATGCAGCAGGTCGTAGAGACCGAGTCGCATTTTATTCATTGCTCCAAAAAATTAATTATAGAATAAAATGTCACTCGGCCTCTTTGCAAAAAAGTAATAGAAATAGGAAATTCAATCATGAAAATAATTCCCTCTGTGAAGATTAGTTGTATATGAAGTATTAGTAAATACTTTTCTATGAAATCAGAATACTTTTCTATGAAATCAAGTAAGTTTAAAATTATCTGAAGGATACTTTTCTTCGAAAGATTACTTTTATTTCGAGGGCGCTCGAGCACAGAAGTATGCCTAGGAGATACTACTCAGCTTTCAAAAGAAATATATTTATTTTGCCTCACGGGCAGCCATTTGTCTCGAGTTTGTTGGAAATTTGCTTCTTCGAAAACACGTTTTCCTTTCCTATGATACTCATTTAATTAAAATAATAATAATATTAATAATTATAATAATAATAATAATAGCGGTTTCAGCGTTTATAAGGCCATAGGCCTGTCGCCGATTCTTAACATCGCAGAACATTCACAGCTTGTTGCGGTCTCGAACTCGCAACTCACTGCTACAATTCTCTTTTGCTAACCGCCCGGCCTCCTCGCCGATTCTGACCAGAAACTGGCGCACAGAGCTGGGATCGAACCCGCGCCTCTCTGCGCCAATCTTGGCACTCTGAACTGTATGACTTTAAATTTAATTTAAATGCCTTCTGAGGCATTTTAAGTGTGAATAAGGAGCAATATATGAATAATATAATATATAATAATATGTATATTGACAATTATTCTGATAATAATAATAATAATAATGAATAAGATATGAATAAGAATATGAATGAATGAATAAGATAATAATAATAAGAAATGTAATATTTTGAAACAGTAACAAATCACGATGTGCGACTTGCCTTTAGGTCGGCTACCCAAAAAATTCGCATGAAAGGACTTATAAACATATTCATGGATCATAATCTTATGTAATGCTATAAGCATCAGAGATAACAATACAAGTGTTTTTCCTGCACATTCGTAATTCCCTCCTACACGACCATGGTTGAATTAATATATTAGTTCAACCATGGACACGACAGTCGAGAATTCATCCAGACAGGACCCACACCCACCCCACCCGCCGTCCACCCTCATCATGATTGCTCCTGTCACTAGCACGTCGCTTTTTAAATGTGCAGATTAATGGCCCTTCTAACGAGACTAAAATCGATTCTTCAAAGCCATACATCTTTTTCTCAAGACAAGCTCTCGTAGGAGCTCCGATATGAGTACAACGTCGTCGCTGCGCCTGTTCTTCACATGGCTGCATTCCAAGCCTGAATTTAATGCATATGAATTATCACGTGAAAAATATCAATAGGAATTCAATATTCATCTCTGTTATGAATTTTCAACCTTGAGAAACTGAGGCCTAAAGTCTATTTGAACGCGTTGCGCTGCTTCCAAGTATTCAAGCTTGCGGAGACTACGAAATTTGTGTAGAAGCAGAAATTACCACAGTACAGTAACTAAGCTTTTTTTTTAAGAAAGAGGTGCTAATGCACGATCTGGATTCCCATATCACAATACGTTTTTGCTTGTATTCAACATATTTTTGTGGTTATTCCCAACTTTGTACACCCCGCATAGTGAGTACAAGTTATTTGACCCAGCTGAAAAATAGCATTAAACAATTAGCTTTTCTATCCTCATAAACAAGTGTTTGAACTTCAAACACAAATATTTCATAAAAAAAAATAATTTTAAATTTTGCTCATAACTAGAAATTAATTCATTGTGACTATTAGAAGTTTTTTTCATCTGAAAAGTTAATAAGTTTTTTAAAATCATGACCACAAAATGTCAATCGAATATATATTGGAGTTCTACATCCAAGAGTTGAAATATAGTGTAAACTCATGCAATATAGGTAAATATCGATCAAAACAAATGCTTTGCAATTGAACCCTTTCCTGGTGGAAATCTTGAATTGTTCTAGATAATTCCCGCTTGTTTGCACGCAGTCGCACTGCCTGCTGCAAATCCAGTTGTGGCGAATTATAAGTGAATATGGATATAAAAACAGTCGTGATTCACAAAAAATCATGAAATATAACAATTATTAAAAGAGTACTGTAAAAACTCATTGCGACATGTGTGCATACATAAATTAGATGTTCAAAAATGCAAGCTGTGAAGGAACCTGAGAGTAAGAAGATTAGGACTTGAATTAAATAATCATCACAAATTCCAGGTGTTACAAGCGGTTTGTGCGTGATTTCTTCGCTTTCAACCCATCGTCATCATCATCATATTCAAAAATTTATCAGAAAACACACATTCCGGGAAAAATTGGCATCTAGGGAGGGAGCGCAGCCGATCCATATTTTAGGAAGCGGTAGTTTGTCTCACGACGACACGACGGAACATCGGATATAGTCCAGCGTTGCCAGATGGTATATTTCTATACCAGATTTCACAAATCTGGTATTTTCAGAAGGTGTCTGGTATGAACATTTTAGATCTGGTATATATGCCTAAATCTGGTATTTTTCTGGTATTTTCTGACTTACCGCAAATTTACTGCATTAAGTTCCACCTCTGAAGTTTGAATTTCCTCCAAGTTCCAACGTAGGCGTGGATTATATAGATTACCATCAGAGTGGCGCGACTAGAGGTTTCCCGCCATTTTTGGAACCGCAGGTTTACCGCTTGATAAAATAACCCCAATTTAATTGTTATCATTTAACAAAAGTGCTTAGTGCAATACGAGCATGAGAGTGATGATCCTCGATTGATTACTGATCAGTTATGAACTGATGATATGGCCTTGGACGAGTGAGGCTGTCGAACCGATCTCTGCGACGCAAGCTCCACCATTTTTGTTTGGTGGTTTTGAATTCTAGAGTGCCACTTATTGGAGTGCCACTTGAATTCTGGGGTGCCATTCAATATTTCACTGATCTTGACAATTATCATCCATTCAAGGAACTGGTTGCCTACTGCATCACTTGTCTACTTTGACCTGTCTCCAAAGCATTCGTGGTGCAAGTGTTTTTACAAGTCACCTATGTGAAAAACAAGCAACGAAATAAAATTTCAACTACGGTACTGGAATCCTTTATTCGGACCAAAAGCTATCTGCTCAACCGCAACAAGTGATCACACCCGAAATGTTAGATTAATGCAATATGCAAGCATATACGAAAATAAGCAAAATGAAGATGACCTGTTTCCGTGGCTTGCTCATGTTGAGCGAAGAGGAAAAAGTGCCACAATGACACCGATAAAAAAGGAAAAGGCGTCAATCTAATCAAACACAGGAAAAGAAAAGTGTCAAAATGTTCCAAACAGAGGGGAAAAATATAACGTGTTCAATTTGGCTAATTAACGTCAAGCCAGATAACTGCATAGTACATAGGATAATATTTTTTCTAACCAACGTTTCTGACGAATAGTTTTATTAAATTTGAAGGTATTAGTCTGTTTTTGAACGATAGAATTTCTGGTATATTTCTGGTATTTTGAGCCAGGCAATCTGGTATTCTCGCCAAGAAAAAACCTGGCAACACTGATATAGTCACTCGATGTGCTGCAGAGTGCAGACTGCATACTGCTGTGCGTGTAGTACTAGTACCTACAATTAGCGTTCACGCGTTTTTTCCTACTTCGTGTAGCAGTGTAGCTGATCTGATAGAATTCCTGAATAATGGCTCCTAATTTTCCCCCATGGAGAAGGCGTGCACCTAAACCGAAGTTAGGTGTTGAAGTCGTGACAGCAAACATCTCACAGAATCCTATGTGTTTACATGGTAAGAAACTGAGGAGTTACCGTATTTTCGTATTATTAATGTGATATTACTGTATCCATGGACATGCTATGGAGCATTGACAACAACCTTGTCTTGTCCACTGCAAGCTTCATATCAGCAGCCATGTAGCATTTCTTCTGTATCTGTTTTTTTTTTTCTGTAAGCTTACAAGATGGCTTGTAATTTTTCACAATTTTGATTTTTAATCAAGTCAAGTGATTTTACTATAACATGAAAGATTGTAAGAAACATACCTGGAACAGGAAGAAATATTTTTAGACTAGATTTTTAGTGACGTCCATTATATTTTTGGGGGAAATAAATCATAGTTTAGCCTTTAGGTTGATTACTTTTCATTCATTGTTGCCCACGCACGGCCCAGTGCTCAATTCTATACTATATATGATATTCTATGCAGTATGCACAATTTTGTGATGACTGATGCAGTAATTTTTTGTTAAGTGAAATTTTTTCACTGAGTGAGGTAAATGTAATGATTTGTACAGCAATCCCTTGATTAACGCCCAGGTTTCATACAGTGGCAATAGTCGTTGGAATTTCAGCGACTTTTGCTAAAGTTATCGACCAATTTTTTTTACTTTACAACGACTTTCGAGCTAAAATAATAGGTCATTTATCTTTTTCAACGACTGCCAACTAATGGGACTCTTCCACAATAAACTTATGTAACTACTGAAGAAACCTATCGACTATCGACTGCATAAATCCTATCGACTATCGACTGGCATGCGGTTGTTCAACGACCAGATGACATTGAGATAAATTTTACAACGACTCTCGTGCCACACTATGAAACCTGGATTAACGCTGTTAATAAATCCCTGAGTTTTACCGTGTTAAGCAAAACCGCGCTAATCAAACTTAAGAATATATGGTAATAATTATAATGAATCCTCAAAAATAGCAAAGATACATAATAATTTTTTTTTCACTAAAATTCATCATATTTTTTCATCATCATCATATGTGTATCAAATAAATAAAAAAATGTGAATGAATTAACGTATTGTTTCCCGTGCATATTGTTGACTCGGGAAACCCTAGGTCTTCACCAATCTTCGTTTTCGTTTCACCATTATCAAAATGCTTAATTATTTCAAGCTTAGTCTCCAAAGAGATATTTTTATGTTTAAGCATTCCCTTTTTTGTCCATAATTATGATGGTAATTTATCAAGGAAAATTATGTAGTTTGATAAAAATGAGCAGTAAATATGGCAGCGATCTTGACCAGTTGAAGGCTAACAAGTAAGTTAGAGCATCGGCATGACGCACTTACCGGCGAACGTTGCCGAACTCGACCATTTGAGTTATGAACGAGAATGAACGAGACAAAGCACGGTTAAACCGACTCTGTAGTCAGCACGAGTGCCTACGGAACGGGACCTTATTTAAAGAATTATTGGCTGAAATTCATAAAGTAACAACATTTGGCGAATTTTTCCAAAAGTCGTAACAAAAGTAACAACATAAGATCTTATATGCAAAAAGTAACACTTTTGTTACGAACGTAACACCTCTGGCTAGAGGCGGGAAAATGATGCGTTGTGAAAAAAAAAGTTGCGCTAATCAAAACTGGCACCGCATAGATTAAGAGTAGGTTGCAAATTTTTTTTCTGCGGTACTAATCAAAACCGCGGTATTCAAAACCGTGCTAATCAAGGGATTGCTGTAATCAAAATTCTTTTTTGTTAATAGATTTTTTTTCATCCTAACTGTAGGCTTTGCTAACCAAAGTTCTACTATACATGCAATTTTAGGGGTGTCCCTTATTACCCCAGGGGCAGGGGGTTTCCCTTATTACCCTGTTTTGTGGAAATGGCTGCCATTTTTTCTTGGAATGAGATATACAAATTCTGTCAATCACGTTTTTAAGCCAACACCAGTGTGCAACAATAACTGCAACTTTCATATAAGTAAAATTTTTCTGTATGACAAATATTTTTTCTGCTACAGACCTTAGCAGAGGTAGTAAGTACTTCTCCAAAATCTCACTTTTTTTCAGAGATTTTTTAGAGGTACTGGTAATAAATGTATGACTTCTCAACTTGCTTTATGCTGCATAGATAGTGAAAATGCTGAACTTTATGCCACTATTTTTGTGAAAACGCTGAACTTTATGCCACTATTTTTAGTTTTGCAATATTTTGATTAGTTTAGCTGCTACAATATTTCTATAAAATGTTGGAAGACTGTCCCTTATTACCATGGTCAGGAAGATATGCCAGGTGCGCGGGAATTTATTTTGTCATTTAACGACCTGCGCGGTGCGCCGTACTACGTTGGTAAAAAAATGTGCCGTGCGCTGTACTTTAGAAAGCTAAAATAGTTCTACTATTTTAGTCGACAATATACGCAAGTATATTGACTACGCGAGTCGAACTGACAATAATAAAATGTAAGACATGTCCGGGTTACTTCTTGGGTTACTTCTGACTCTTCCGGTTGTCCGCCTTGTCGGATACGGAACGTACGGTAATCGTAAACTGCGGCTGTTATACATACGAAATGTAAACAGACGGTGTTCAGTGTTGCCATATGACTTAGGAGAAAATTTCTTCTAAAATAAAGATGGCCGGGATTGCACGAACACGTGCGCGAAGATAATCAATTTTCATTACATTGCGCCAACTGTGCACAGCAATAGCTTAAAAAAAGTGAAAATGCGCAGGAAAATTCACCGAAAACATACATCATCCTGAGTGTGGCCTTATTACCCCGTTTGACGGTAGGTCTTGTAAAGCAAGATACTCTCCTATAGGTGATACTATGCACAAACAGATTTGGGCTGACTGTTTTTTAGTAACTAGCTTTGAACTTTGGTAAATTTGACCATTTGTGCTGACCTTGACAAATTTGAAGAGATCCTGCAGGACAGCTATAGGGTCTGGGAAGCTGAAAATCCGGCTATATTATGTTCAGCAGCTTGTTCAAAAGTTCAAGTCCATATCTTGATCTGCAAGGAAATTTTTGCAGTCTAAATATTGGTCACAGTTTTTTGCGTCGAGTTAAAACAAATTTTGAGGTACATTTTGAGTCAACTTGTTTGGCTGAATTTTGCATCAGTAATGGTAAAAGTAATTTCATCAGAATCAGCAAACAAAACTGTACAGGATCTCATTGTACTACTAGCCATTTTTATAAATTAGTTTTAATTTTATTGGACCCCAAAAATGGCATTTTGTCCAATGTTGTGCTCACACAGACTGACTACTACCCTTCAGACAAGGGGGGTCACAAGATCAGAAACTATTGCAGTTAGAGGCCTAATATTTTGGAAAACTTAGTTTAGCACTTCACTAGTGCTACAGTTAAAATTTGAAGAAAATTGGAGACATTGTTGCCGGGTCTAAAATGTCTCATACCGCAGGTGAGATAAACCTGTTATCTGCTTATTTACTAACTGGCAACAACCCTACTCTGAATGAAGGAAAATGAATGACTGGTTCTAATGCAAAATGAATTAAAATATGGAACAGCAAATACACACAACTTAATAAAATTGCAAACGAAATGGTTGTTTTAATTTGAAATGTGTAATGAAAATGAGCTAGTTAATTGGATGAAAGGAGCATGGACAGGTGGAGATGAGCAGATGTAACTGCAAACAGAAAGAACAGAATAAAAATGCAAATCACGAATGACTGATAACCTGATGGGATGTAGAATGTAAACAAAGCAAGAACCATTAAACTCCATAAAACTAGTAGCAGCTCATCTCCATATTGTGAATTTATCTTTAAAACTAATGAGTACTCGCACAAGGATTGAATTGAAAGGAATCACAAGTGGACAGATAAATAAAGGAACACTGCAAGAGGAATTGAGAACATAAGCTTACTGGAATTAATTGTAACCATAATCCAATATAATAAATTAACTTCTTCAAACTGAACCATATCAGTCAGAGATGAATACAACCAAAGTGAAATGCAAGGACAAAACTTAACCAAAATTATCAATGAACAAATTATATAAATTTCTATGCCACTCACCAGTGCAACTGAGTGCCCAGGCTAAGATACTGAGTGGGAATCCAAATACTTAAGAGTGATAATTCAAGTTTGCAAATTATACTTTGGTCATCTACACTGAAAAAGATAAAAATATTGAATTTAATTTAAATTGAGTTGGATTGAGAACTAAAGAAATATGATTACAGATAAAAAAGACCTGAAGGTTGGGCTACACAGTAGCCTAATCTAACCTCCGGTAACAACATGATGGTGGGAACTGAGAAGGGTTAGACCACTTGGCATGGAATGACCCATATATAAGGACTCCAAAATATGCAGATTGGATGCACCAGAAAACCGGGCAGAAATAGAAGCTAAAACCTTAAAGTCAGTGTCAGACAATGAAACGTCACACTTGTTGGCATGAGTGCGCACAGCCAAATGAGGAGGGCGCATTACAGTAACTGCCCAGTCCTATAACTCCATCTTTTATGCTCAGCGACCCTAGTGTAAAGGTTGCGTGCCGTCATTCCAATGTAAACAGATGCACAACTTTATAAACTAGGGATGACTGCATGTAAGAAGGGAGGATATCTTTGTACCTAAAAAGTAACCTTTTTTAAAATTATTCACCAGTAAGATACATGATTAATGTCCATAAAGTATTTCATAAACAAATATATTAATTTTCTAAAAAAAATCTTCTGTTTATTTGGATTTAAAAAAACAAAAGCTAAAAAAGCTGGTGCTTAGGCTGGTGAAAGTTGATTTTCTGAAAACAGATGTTTGAAAATGGCCATTAGATTTAGTAATATTGCAGTTGAGAAAGGACAAACTATTTTTGATTCAAGTTCCATGGTAAATTTAATACAATAAGGTTGCAAGTTTAAGTAATCAAAGAAAAGTTTTACATGAGAGGGATGCTTGAAAATGAGAAAGGTATCATCAATAACCGGTATAACAGATATGTCAATGGCATCTTCTAGCCCCTGACCCTAAAAGAGGGTCAGGCTTAGTTTCTAGCAGTGCTGAAAACTGATTCTGATTGTTTTTACAGGCCCAACAATATGTTTTGAGCGGTTCTTCATAGAGAAGAAGTCACGGAAATTCTATGCATGCTCGGCATGCAGAGACAGGAAAGACTGCCCATTCTTCATGTGGGCTGATCAGACGCAATCTAAGGCTTATAGAAACACGTGGTTGAGGAAAATTAAAGAAAACAGGCCTAAACGTTCTCATCTAGAGGAATACAAAAGGTAAGTCATGCAATTAGATTGATCCTTGATTTTAATTCTTGGACCCTAATATGTAGGATTGCTAATCATAGTCAGATCCACTTGAATTGTTCATTGATTAGCATTCTATAAACTAGGTTTTAATACAAATCCATGGCACCATAAAATGATCTATAATGTAATATTTAAAATTTCATGAACTTATTATTAACTTGAAACTTTTTTTTCCAAGATTTAAGAAGAATATCTTGAAAGTTTGATATGTATGGTATATATAAATTATATAGGTACCTTCTATTCATAAATGCATACTCCTCTCGTCTTGGCAACTATTTAAACAAAACTTATATCATTTCAAATAATTATCTTTATGTCATTGTTAAATCTGCATGCTGCTGATTTGATAATTATTCTCTGGGCTTTTTGATGACTAAATTCAACTATGGTCAATCAGTTTATTTTTAATTCAATTGTTTTATCTTTCCTCATATATGATGGATTGAAACTTTTAGTTGATCAATGGTATTGTAATTTATAAAAGCTCCTTATTTCCACAAGTGTGTTATTTTTATACAAGCAATTCATGTATTGAAGCATTGTTGGAAACTAATGCACATTATTAATTTTCAGGTTATCAAGCATATGTGAAGTGAGCCCTGAGGAACGAGGCTACTGCACCATATGCAATATGCTGTGTCTGCTGCCCTGTGATAGCGACCACATCCCCACACCTCTCTGCTCGGCCGCTACTGTTATAACTCCCATACCTGACCACCTTCTCACTCATCCTTCTCAAGTAATTTCCTTTTGTTTAGATCGTGATAGAAAAAATTTAATGCAAAAAAGTTTCTTGGAGTTTGTTATGGAATTGCAGTAATACAATAATACTGTGTCTGTTATGTATGAGTTTTACATTTATTCAATTGATAGTTACCGTACTTGCATTGACCTAAGCAAATGCATAAAAAACTAGTTTCTACATTTATAGATGTGATATTATCTGCTACGGTACTCATGCTGTTGCTCTTTTTTGCTTTATTTGCAAGGCAAAATAATTGCCAAAAGACTGCGCACTAGGAAAATTAACTGCTTGTATGCTCCTTTGTTCTGTATTAGGTTGGTGTCCTAATTTCATTCCCCTGAATTTCAACATTATTTCTTTTAAACAGGATGATGATAATATTGTTGCGCTTACAATGCTCAGTGTTGCAGTTGGTGCCATTGAAAGAGAACTCGAAGTGTGAAGCACAGTACCTGTTCAGCAGCCGGTCCCTGAAGGCGGTGGTGGACATGGTGGCAGCTACAGGCGCCACTAAAGTGCTGTGTGTGGGAGTGCCCAGCCTGCATGAAGCAATTGCCAACAACGAGACCAGCCTCAGTGCCACCTCGATGCTGCTCGACATTGATACCAGATATGTGCGTGGCTGCTTGGCTTGCTGGTATTTCCATCTTTTAACTTATTGCTCTTCAGTGGCAAGTAAGCGTTTGATTCATCTGACTGTACACAAGGCTACAGAATAGTTTATAAACAAATATTTTATTTATTCTCTTATGCATTTTAATATAAGCAGTGTAAACATTTGGAACATATGGAGACCAGTGTATATTATAGAAGATTACCAGTACAATTTTTTATATCCGTTAATGGCCTCTTAAATGAAAACAAGGGCTCATACCTTACCTTTATATGATAGTTTATATGTACGTACGGTATTGTTTGCAAGGGGAACTTCTTACCGCTTACCAGCATCGATCACTTCAACATGTTCAACCAACACTTCTTTACTTTGTTCACAGAGGAACTTCTTCCCACTCACCAGCTTCGTTCACTTCAACATGTTCAACCAACACTTCTTCGACGGAGCGCGCGCGAGGCAGCGCGTCATCACCTTCCTCACGGGAGCCAAGAGTGAGTGCCACTCACACGGACGCCGTCTAAGATTTTTTTTCCTTTTACTCTGGTCAATGTGGACAACATGACTGATGTAGCTTGTGCAAACGGTTCCAAAAGTTATAATGTCTTTTCCCTTCAAAAGTGTTTTCCCTTTTTCCCCTGACAAGTTTTCCATTTTCCAAAGCTAAGTTTACCTTTTTCCCCCCTGATAAGTTTTCCCTTTTTGCCCCCTGACTAACTAACAATATAGAGGAATAAATGATGAATTTTCAAGCTGTAATTTTCCGCAGACGTGTGCGTGGCGTGCGACCCGCCCTTCGGAGCTCGCGTAGAACTGCTCAATGTGTGCTTCTCGTACCTGGCTGACCTGTGGCGCGATGCCAACGGCCTGCCTCCTCACGCACAGATGTCGGGTGAGCGCAATGCTTCAGCAGGACTTTGCAGTGCTGTATTGCGCAGGGGTTGAAAATGATGGTGTCAAATCCATGCCACGCGCATATTGGCCTGACATTCTAATCTGATTGACTTATTTAGCGTGCATGGTAACAATGTAGGAAAGTTATCCGCGTAAAAGTCTTGAACAGAAACGGCTCAAGTTTTTGGTTACAACTTTTGGATTTTTACAACTTGGATTTTCAGAGCAATTTCGTTCAGCGTGTTTACGACCAGCAGACTCTCGAAACTTTGAGTCGTCGAGGTGGCAATTATTGTGGCTCGTTAAGCAGACACTGGGGAAAAAAATATTCAGCTTTGCAAATTCTGACAGCTACATTTGCGAATTGGTACTTGGAGTTTGAGTAAAATCAGTAAAATATAGTTAAAATATGTTAATAGAAATGGTAGAAATAATATTTGCTAGAGATACCGTACTGTTTATTAGGTTTTATGTTAAGCTGGCGACGCATGGAAGAAGTCTCTCTGCAGTCACAAATCACGGGCTAGGGCATTCAGGTCCCTGACAATTTCTTCACTAGTTTTTCTTGCAGTAAATAGCTCGATAATTGCTATTCCTGTATTTACAACTTTCTTCATAGTTAGTTGGATAGATATTTTTTAAATTACTGAAAATTATATTCAATTTAGAGTGAAATGTTACATTGGAGACGTCAACAAAATATTCATTTTGAACCGAATCGTAACGATGAGTTACGTCGTCCGCCGTGCCTGATGTCTGCTTTTGAATCACGGACAATTCCTTAATTTGGTTTGATTACTAAGAATTCATGAAAGAACAAGGACTTTAGTAGTAAAAATAGAGGACTTCAACAATGTTTACTGTATCCTATTATTGCCGTAAAATATTGTGTATTTTACGGTTAGCTTTGAAAATGGTTTTTATCGTATTTCGTTGCCCCACTGGCGCGTTTTGGTTTAGGCCACTAGGTATAGCGCAGTAATGGCGGCTCTGAAATGAAAGGAGCTAGCCGTGAGTTCGAGCCTCGGGAAGCTCAGGGCCTATACTTTCAAAAAAAAAAAAAAACAGTTAAGAGATCGTAAATCCATCAGCCAATCATTGACGGCCTTTCAAGCAAAATCCACCAATCATAGACAAGAAAATAGAGCGTAAGTACTCACGTTCACTTAGCGCGTTTTGAAAGCATAGCCCCAGTTCATACACTATTGATGTTGCTGGTTGGCGGCGCTTGGTCGCCATTTACGGTCGTACTTCCAACCTGGCCTTTGTTTAGTGTCCCAGAATTAACTCGGTACGTGCTACCTGGTGGGATCTTAAGGTCTTCAAGTTGGGAATGGCGACTGATCGCTAAAATTTATTTGCTGGGTCCTATATTCGTTATCTTCTGTTACTCATATTTCTCATTGTAAATTAAATCAGACTTATTTTTTAATTAAAGACTGTAAAATTATGACGATCACAACTCATCTAGTGGTTTGTGCTGTTCTTTACGTATACAGATTTAAGTCCATCAATTGCTGTAAAAAATCCGAAAAGTTCGTGTTTTTGTCAGTGCCTTGCCGAACATATTGGGCAAATGCCGTTTCATTTGGAGCGATGAAATGCCTTCGGAGTGACGTATTGTAAACTTGTGCGCCTGCAACCGTACGCGGGGTACTGGCCAGCTGCATCACTTGTCGAATCTCGCGGAAGAGAAACTACTGTGATCAGATATAATTTAGTAACTATATGTATACAAGTTGGTAGATTATGAGCAGTAGAATTTATATTGGCGGGCCTGCCGTGCGATGGTACTTACTACTATCACTTCTATGCAGTCAGATACTGTGTGAAAAGCAATTAATGGGATTTAAAAAAATTAATAGCCTATGCAAACACGGCGTGCACTGCGTTCTTCTATCCTGATATCAAAGTGAGGAGTCAATGTAAGCTTTTGTTTTTATTTCAGTGTTGCTGATGTTCCCGTACTTCCTGGAGTACCAAATCACCGAGAACCTACCAACTTTCACTATGTTGGACTACCAGCTCGACTATATCAACCACGACCACTACACATCAGGTCAGATCTTCCGTCGTTTTGTAGCCTGCTAGTCACTGGCAATTTTTCGTTTATTAAGAGCCTGTAGTTCTGAACCATTTATTCATGCATGTTGTTACGATTTCTCTCATTCAGGCATTTATTTTGATCGCAATATTGATCATGGTTGTACTGTTTATTTTTTCAAGAAGTAACTCTGCCACCGTGCCGCTTGCGTGAGCCACTAACTGTTCTGGTCTAGAGCTCCGGACGTTACCAGAAAGAACGGATACGTTATTACTGTTCTGGCCTTGAACACATCGTAGGTTATCTAGAGGAATGAATGCTATACTGTTTTTTCTGTCTCTCTTTTAAATATTCTCATGTCCTCATGTGTCGTCAATCTTAAGCGATTCAAGCAGGAATATTTTAATCTCAACTGTTCAGATATTGGAAACATCTCGACCCGTTTTTTGCATACTTTGTTGCTTCATTCAGGCTCTTACAGTCGATCTTCGTCCATGCCACTTGGTATCTAATGAGCAGCTACCGTAGCGGCGCTCACAGTCTTTCGCGCTATGTACATTGTTTCTATTTTAGTTCGTTCATATCATCTTTTCTTGCTTGCAATAAATATTGTACGATTCAACATTATTGAAGGCCGTTCACATAGTTTTTACGAAATTACTTGTCTTTCGGCGCAAGAATTGTCAGGCTTGTCTTCAGTAGCATTACCAGCGTCACCATCCGTGAAGTCTTTGTAGTAAGTCTTACCTATATAAGCTCCTCAAGCAGCCCATTAGTCAGTCGCAGCCCAGCTTCTATCCCCTTACGCCTCGCTTGCCAACTCGAGATAGTGTCGATATAGATACCTGATCTATATTTTTAATAATACTTCACCGCGCTTTATCTTAAATATGTAATTACTAGTTGGAGTAGTATTGTCTTTCATTCCTCCTTATTATATCTTTGGATAATAATTCGAACCGAAAGTATTGAAACATTTTGCTTAATTAAAACTGGTCGCTAGTGTCACTGAAAAGACATCCGGACAGAATGCACCTGTGATTTTTTTGGATTTTGCTATAGTAAATGTACAAATATTGTTCCTCACTGTGTCGATAGTTGACTGTTTGATGCTATGGTCGCTGATATCCCCACAGCGGTTTGCGGTAATTTTGTAATGGTTTCGAGCGCGAGGAGGTTTGCGATGTCGACTGCAGTGTAGTCAACCTTGTAGTATACTACACCCAGAATATCTAAGATAGAGAGTGTGACGTGTACGATGTTAACAGGCAGCAAGAAGGCCATGAAGCGGGGGTCGGCTGTGCGTGTGTTCACTAACCGTCCAGCCAGCGTCTTCCCTCTACCGGAGAGTGAAGGCTACCGGCGCTGCGAGCCTTGCGACCGCTGGGTCTACGCCAGCAACGTGCACTGCGACCTGTGCCGGGGCTGCATGGGCAAGGTCGCTACATGCATTAAACTGTTGAAAATAACAATTATAACCTTATTATATCACGTAAATCAATTTTCTGGTCAGAGACAGGTTTACTTGCCTATTATAACTATAACTATTTATATATAATAACTATAAGTAACTTTATCTGGATTTGGCTCCACTATCGCTTCTTAGGCCACCAAACGTGTCATTAAACATCAAATGGCTGCGTGCATCGCATTTTACGATCCTTGTTTGAGTTACTTCAGTTGTCCACGGTTCAGGAACTTGACAATTTCTGTATTATATTAAAGAATTTTAGTATATTATTAAATAATTTTAGTATATTATTGAATAATTTTTAGTATATTATTATTGTATCCATAAATGTGGTGCTTCGGCGTTAATGATAAAAATGCCTCGGCCACAGGACGGGAGCGCGTACAAGCACTGCGATGAGTGCGGGCGGTGCGTGAAGCCGTCGTGGCAGCACTGCGCCGCATGCAGCAAGTGCCAGAGCCGTGACCACCGCTGCACTGGGCAGCCCTCCGTCAGCTTCAAGCTGCACCAGCTCAGGGAGCTCTCCAGCAAGTGCATAGTCTGTGGCGACCCTGGCCACAAGAGGAAACATTGTCCCACTCGAGAGGTCGGTCAGTCGGCTTAATTTGCAGACTTCAGCTTAACATATTATGACTGACATTTCCACAAGTAATAATTGTCTCCGTTTAAATTATATTACAATTAAGTATGAATATATTTTCTTTCCAGGAACGAAATAAAGCGGAGTTGGAGCGACCGCCCAAAAAGAAAAGGAAGAAGGCCGCTCATGCTTACCCTATCTCGTCTCACGAAGAAAATTCTCAATATTTACAAGTAATAAAAGGAATTTTATCCGAGTAAACAATGCACAAGACTCATTTCTCTGTAACCTGACGTATATCTTTCTAGTGTGCCCCTATTTGGCCTAAACCTCATTTCCGTCAAGCGCAAAAAAATGAGGCTAACGGTACTGTTGAATTTCATTGCTCGTCTCTGATTCATTGCGATCAAGATAAATTTATTTTCCATATTTGATGGCGTGTAAATAACTTCAGATTACCTGCATTGCATTGCTACGACAATGGGAAACTGTCGCACAACTGCTGCCTCTTTTGTTGTCCATTTTATTATATTCTTTATTTGCTTGAAATGCACTTTCTTCAGAAAGCAGCATCCAGTAGGAGAATCTAAATCTGCGTCAAAACTGCGACTAAAGTGGTCGGTTTGATGAGTCATTAACCCATGTTAATCGCTATGAATAAAGCTTATTGCTGCCTCAGTTCAAGCAATAAACATTCATACCGGATGAAAAAGATACCATCGTACCGGATTAAAAGTGTTTGCTCGAAGCGCACGATGGCGGATTTGATCATTTCGAAGCCGTTCGGCAAGTCCGACCTCAAATGACGACTTGTGAATCTGTGGATTAAGCACGTACGTACTCGTGTGCCGGCAATAAGCTATGCGTCGGACAATTTTACGGCCGGTCTCGGGGAGTGTTATACGGCCGGTCTTGCGAAGTGTTTGACGGCCGGTCTCGCGAAGTGTTTGACCCGTCGGTCTCGCGAAATGTGTTACACAGCCGGTCTCTGAATTTGGCGACCAATGAATATCTCCCAAACCAATGAACGCAGCTCGATGAAACTTGGCACTCTTATGTATTCATTTAAACCTAACGGTGATGTTTAGCTCGTGAAAATTTTTTCCATTTCATCTCTAGTTGGACGGTAAACGGGCCAAAATTTGCAGTGACCAAGAAATTTCTCTTAAACTACTGAACAGATTTGAAGGAAAGTTTGCATGCACATTCCTCTTCAGCCAACGGTGATGTTTAGCTCATGACAATTTTTTCGATTTTTCCTTCGTTTGCGATATATACGGCTATACGGAGAAACTACAGGCATTTATTAGGCAGATTTTGTGGCCGGGTTTCAAATTTGCTGTGACCAAGAAATATTTCCCAAAGTAAAGAACGGGGCTAAATTTAACTTAGAAGACATATTTATTAGGACTTGATGGTGATGTTTAGCTCGTGAAGATTTTTTAGATTTATTTTTCGTTCTCGATTTGTACAACAAAACGTTATATCAACTGTTGAACTTCTGAATAAACATGTTTACGAAGAATTCGAACTTTATTGCAGATAATTCAAGTGCAAATCGCCGTGTTCCATTTTGGTTTCACGAGCTAAACATCACCGTTGGGTGGTAAAGAATGCATATTCAAAGTTTCGTTCAAATCTGTTCAGCAGTTTAGAAGAAATTTCGTGATCACTGCGAATTTTGGTTCGTATTGCTGTAGAGCTCAAATGGACGTGATATCGAAAAAACTCGCGAACAAAAGCAAAATCTATGAAATTTTGAAAATCTAAGCAAAATGGAAGCATCAACAAAGTTTTGTTCAAATATGTTCAGTAGTTTAGAATAAATCTCTTGGTCGCTGCAAATTTTGTCCCGTTTTGCCGTTTAAATGACGAATGAAGGTGAAATGGAAAAACCCGAGCGAAACACCGTTAGGTTCTAATGAATAAGTGTACCAATTTTCAAAAAGCCGTCTTCATTAGTTTGGGATATATTCCTTGGTTACTAAATTTTGAGACCGGCCGTGAAACCTGTCGCGAGTGAGGCCGTAAATTTACGCACAATTGTCCACGTGCTTATCACTGGGTTAATGGTGCTAACCAAAACTAGTAATTTTTCCCAATGTTTTATTCGCCTTATTGTGTTATGTGTTCCCGGTTTCCAACAGTACTTATTATTACTGCTTGCTTTGTTACAGTTGCTCTGAAGGTGCGTACCAGTATCTATGACAGATTTTACTGAAGTTAGATACATGGTCTGATGGTCATTGGGGGCGCCAATACTCAAGAAGGTGACGCGCCTCATCTTAACCAAGTAGTAACATAGTCACTGACAAATGACTCCCTATCCAAAGCAACATAACATGATATACATCATTTCGCATCGGTACTCGTCTATTATTGTATTATTATCAATCCATCTTTTAAACAAAGAAAAGCTTACTGAGGATTTCACAATGTTTTTCAAAACAATTAAATTTTTTGTTCAATTCATATTAATTTGACATTATTGAAAATCAACAACCCATTTTGAACAAAACATTTTCTAACAATTTTTTCCGTAAATCCTAAGTGGGCATCCTAAATAGTTATTACTATAGATAAATCAGAAGGATATGCGGTTTTACCGATGATTGCCGACAGCAGCAACACAGAGTGATTATTATAAATTTGAATATCGTCTATGTCTTATTAAGGTATTCAACAGATTAGTTGTGCCTTTTTGACTCATTTTAATTTGAGTGACCAATTGATGATCACTCGAGCGTGATCACAATCTAATGGTAGCGATCATAGCGTTAGTTAGAGGACAGTTGAAATCTATCGTTGGACGTTCATGATGATAAGAGATGCTGTACCGGCCGCCTTGCCGAAGTATTGAAAAGTTCCAAAAACCGGAAGAGTAGAGTGCATAAAATCATTATCAAGAAGGAGACATCGTCATCAATTCAAATCGCTTTTGAATTTAAAGAATCCGGTGACAAAATGAGGAAATCATAGCAGTCATCATTTGGAAGACCAGACGAAATATTCAGTAAAACTATTACTGACTTGACTGAATTTTGATCATTTGATGGCTTCCGCTTCCCTTCAGATTCGCCACTTGCCAGTGATCAATCGAACGGCAAAAATAAAAAAGCCAAGACTTCTAGTCAAACCTAGGTACCTACCCATTACCCAACAATCCAACATAGACTGGGCTTAGTGGCATTGTGGCAAGGCCGAGAGTTTTTAGACTTTCCCTCAAGTTCATTTTTGAGTCCTATAACTTATAAGGAGACAAGCAAAGTAGGCTACCTACCCATCATGGATACCACTCATATACCGTACTATGGATTATGGAAACGATGGAAAGATAAACTGGACAGTGGACAAGCAGGAAAGCTGTATGTAAACTGGAACAGTAACATAGAAAGATGCAGTAATAGCTCTGACAATAAATTATTGTCAAAGCTGGATTTCTAAGAATGGAAGTTCACTTATAATTTGACAGTTGACACTTGTGCAACATGAGAATATTTCACTATGATTTTTTAGTGTTATTGACTGCAACTGACAATAAAATGAGAAATATTTACATGCAGCATGTTTTATAACTACAGCATAGGTATCATCTGTATCTGTAAGCTTACAGTTACAGGAACTCAGGAAGCATAGCCTAGTGGCAAAGCAGAGAGTTTTTTAAACTCTCCCTCAAGTTCATTTTTGAGTCCTATAAGACCAGTAAAGTATCCTGGATACCAGCACAATCATACATAAGAAATTGGTTTAAATCTTGAGTAAATGAGGAAATTAAAAGTGAACTGATTGAAAAAAATCTGTGGTTTGTCACTATAAACAGGAAGGCTTGTAATTTCACACCATTTTAACCCATTAAAGCCGAGAATTATTTGGGCAAAAATTACATGTTTTTTCCAGTTTGAATACTTCATTTGGTAATTTTTAATCTATTAAAACATTCATTTTACAAAAATTGCAGACAAATGCTAAAATAGCTATGGGGTAAACGCGGTATATTCCGACACTTTAAGGACGCATCGAAAAATGAAAAACTATAAAAAAAACCGTATGCGTTACGTAAGTTCTGTTGCCTTCACATGACTCTCAAAACCATAAGAGTTTGCTCTAAATTAGGAATTGAATTGAAAACAAAATCCAGAGTAGAGCGGATGCGGATTAGAAAGGAATGAACGTCTTCGGCTCTCCGCTATGACAAACTAGAGCATCTTTTTCGAAAGCATTGAACGAACTCAACTTCTAAATCTGATCATTGAACGTGAAGTTTTGAACGAGTGTTGTTATTGCCAGATGTATGTGAACTGGCGCCACGTGTGGTTGTTGATGCCTGCGCTGCCAGTACCAAACTTGCATTGTCATCTCAGCAGAGCAGAACCTACTAACATTGGAGACAGAGATATGTAAAAACTAATTTTTTAAAATGTAAATTTATTTGTAAACTGAGTTATATTTTGACTGTTTACCATCGGCGTTCATAAAATTGTGATGCAATGCATATGCTTAATTTGAGTTCAGAAATTGTATGTTTACCCTAGAAAAAAAATATGTTCTCAATTGCCACTATGCTTGGAATAAAACTTAATTTTAAAACATTTGAAGCATGCAGATTGCAGAGTGTACTCATTCATTACTAACAGTACTCTGAAGTCCTCCTCTTTCATTTTAGATAATGTAGAGGTAAAATAAATGACATTTTCTGTGATTTTTACTTGTTTTTCCTTTATTGATATGATATTACCATATACATTAATTACCGTATTATTGATGCGATATTACTGTATCCATGAACTGGGCATTGAGCATTTCAACTACCTTGTCCACTCTCCACTGCAAGCTTCATATCAGCAGCCTTATAGCATTTTTTCTGTATCTGTAAGCTTACAGGATGGCTTGTAATTTCACACCATTTTAATTGGATTAAGTGAATATACTATAAGAAAGATTGTGAAAAACATACCTGAAACAGAAAGGAATGTTTTAGTGACAACCATCATATGTTTTGGAGAAATAAATCATAGTTTAGGACTTTAGGTCAATTACTTTTCATTCTATGATGCCTGGTGCACAAATCTATATATGACATTCTATGCAAACTCTGCAGTTGGATCTATAAAACTTACCCGGATTGTTGGGAGCTACTCTCCAGGCTACCTCTATGGTAACGTCAAAACTCACAAGGAAGACAACCCACTAAGGCCTATAATTTCGCAAGTAACTTCTCCCGTATACAAGACCTCTAAAGAACTCGACGCTATAATTAAACCATATATCCCTAAGAAATACTCTTTATCTATTAAAATGTCATTCGGAAACCTGCTTTTCGATCTCCCGGCTCCAGCTAGAAATTTGGTTCGACTCATTGAAAAGACAAACAAGAAGATTGTAAATAAAAAGCATGCTCTGGTCTTCAATCAAACTTGCATAAAAGAGAAGCTTTTGCCGAACTACACCAATATGACATTCTATGCACAATTTTGTGATGACCAATGATGCACCAATTTTTTGACAAGTGAAATTTTTTTTTTGCTGAGCAAGGTAAATGTAATCAATATTCTTTGTTTTTAATCAAATAAATAAAAACAAATCAATTTTTTTCTTAGCTCGAGCCTTTCCTAACTGAGGTTCTACTGTAAATGCGTTTTTTTGGAGGTGTCCCTATTAGCCCCGGGGGGGTGTCCCAAGTAGCCCCGCCATGCGGAAATGGCCGCCATTTTTTGGGATTGAGGTATGTAAATTCCGCAAATGAAGTTTTCTTGCTGACACTTGTCTGCCACTTTTTTCTAAGCAAAAATTTTTAATATGGCAAATATTGTTTTTACTACAGACCTTAGCAGAAGTAACTTTTCAAAATTTAGTTTTTTACCATTTTTTCAGGAATTTTCCAAAGCTAGTAAATGTAGTATTTTTGAACTTCCTTTATGATACATAGATAGGAAACATGTTGACATTTATGCCACTATATTTAGTTTTGCAATATTCCAATTAGTTTTGCTACTAAAACAGTTATACGCTGCGTCGGAGGACTGTCCCGAGTTACCTTGCCCGTCCCGAGTAGCCCCGGTTGACGGTAGCAAAACTAATTGCAATATTGCAAAACTAAATATAGTGACGTAAACGTCAACATTTTTCCTATCTATGTAGTATATAGGAAGTTCAAAAATACTACATTTACTAGCTTTGGAAAATTCCTGAAAAAAATGGTAAAAAACAATATTTTGAAAAGTTACTTCTGCTAAGGTCTGTAGTAAAGAAAATATTTGCCGCATTAAAAAATTTTGCTTAGAAAAAAGTGGCAGACAAGTGTCAGCATGAAAACTTTATTTGCAGAATTTACATAGTACCTCACTCCAAAAAAAAATGGTGGCCATTTCCGCATGGCAGGGCTACTCGGGACACCCCCAAAAACGCATTTACAGTAGAACCTCAGTTAGCAAAAGCCCCAGTTAAGAAAAAAATTGATTGAAAACAAAAAATATTGATTACATTTACCTTGCTCAGCAAAAAAATTCAGCTTATTGAAAAATTAGTGCATCGTCGGTCATTACAAAATTGTGCATGAAATGTCATATATAGAATTGTGCACCAGGCATCATAGAATGAAAAGTAATTGACCTAAACTGTGATTTATTTCTCCAAAACATATGATGGTAGTCACTAAAACATTCCTTTCTGTTTCAGGTATGTTTTTCACGATCTTTTTTTTATAGTAAATTCACTTAACCCAATTAAAATGGTGTGAAATTATAAGCCATCCTGGATACAGAAAAAATGCTATAAGGCTTCTGATATGAAGCTTGTTGTGGACAAGGTTGTTGTAAATGCTCAATGGCATGTTCATCGATACAGTAATATTGCATCAACAATACAGTAATATCACATCAATAATATGGTAATTTATGTTATGGTAAAACAGAAAATGTCATTTATCCTATCTCTACATCATCTACAATGAAAGAGGAGGACTGCAGAGTACCTACTATTAGTAATGGATGAGTACGCTCTGCATGCTTCAAATGTTTTGAAATGAAGTTTTATTCCAAGTGTCCCGAGTAGCCCCGTTCAAGGGGGCTACTTGGGACACTTTTTTTTTGCTTCTGGCACCTTACCAATAGCATATGGAATTTTTTTGGAGAAGCTATGTGATAGCCCTTGCAAAGAGCTTTGAAATGAGCCTAAACTTGTTTATGAAATGTTTCATGGTAAGAAGTTGTGAATGAAAAACGTTCAAAATTGTCCCGAGTAGCCCCGGTTGATGGTATATATAATGTGCAATACATAATGCATACCTACGTTACATTTGCATAGTCATGATAGTGTGCTCTAAAAAACCAACAAGAACCCTCAATGACACTAAGTTGCCAATCAGATTTTCAAGAGAGCTTCCTACAACAGTATCACTAGAGATGGGAAGGAGAATTATTATTAGGTATACAGTATTTTGATTCATCTCTTTAAGAACAATTTGGAGTTTAATTGGTTTTTAACAGCTTACTAAGATGCTCATCCAGCTTTTTTAACAAATTTTTCTCCATCTCAGGAGTGAGGTTCTCATTGTAATTTGTGTAACTATCCACTACAGAATATTTGTTGTTTTCAGCCATAAGTCTTCTTGATGGTCAATTAATATTTTTGAATATTTAACATTATCTTCAAAATATTGAAGCAATTTGTTGAGTCTTAGGTGCCTATCAAAAGATTTGTAGGTATCACTAAATATAACACATCATTATGAGTGACAGAAGAGAAAGCTCAGGTGATGAGGCTGGAGAGGAGCAGCAGCAAGAGACGCAAGGATCACAAGATGGCATGGCTGGCGTCAAAGTTTACGTAATGGAGCACAAAGTGGACACAGCCCTATGGGTTACCAGAGCCCTTACTTTACTATTTTGTTTATCTTATTTCCTGCCTTTTTTCTGGTAAGTTTGCTGCTTTACATAAAAAAAATTCTGCAAATATATGAACTGATGTGTGCTGATAATAAGTTAGTAACGATTTTTAAAGTGTTTACTAAGACATGATAAGATTGAACTTGTGGCTGCCTGTTATTTTAAATAATATTTTCAGTAATTCTAGTAACATCTTATCAATAAAACCATTTTTAAATTAAGCCCTTATGCTTCAAACTTTTATGCTCATTATTTAGCCACTTTTTGATCTATTGGGATTGTGTTTAAATAAATTATTTATGGTATAACAGCTCACCTGAGAGCAGCTACCAGAAAGTCCTCATGAGTAATGCAGCCACGTCAGCCCTGCGGCTGCACCAGCGTGTTGACAGGGTGGCTCTTGATCGGGCTTTTTTCATGCAGGTAATCTACAGTTCCTCTCCTTAGCTTCTTGACCTATCTCTTGTTTATTCTACTATTGATGTATCTTCGTGATCATTTCAGGTAACATCCTAAGGATTATATGGATTTTTATAGCCTGAAGCATGGCAAAACTGGACTTGAGTACCTATACTAAGTATGTTGAGAGCAGGGTTGGCAATGATTAAATCATGTGATTAAATCACTTGATTTTTTTATAAAAAAATCATGATTTTTTTTTATTTTTTCGATTTATTTGATTTTTTTAATATACGTATTTAAATATATTGAGTGGCAGTCTTTAATTTATATTGAGGTATTGTTATTCATGGTTTAGTATAAATGTACTATAAATGACAAATTGGTATATAAACTTGTTGCCTTTAGTGTGTATTAGGTTCCAATAAATTGAATGTTTTTGGTACAGAGGCATCAAGTGTGCAATGCATTGTACATAGCTAGCAGCTTAGCTAATTCTTATAAGGCTGTAAGTAGTCTTTAACTATTTGACTATTTGTTATATATTGATTACAATATACAATTTAAAAGTGTTAGCTAGCTTATACAGGGTGGGGCAGAACTGATTGAATAGTTTTGAAGCAAAGTTAAAGAGTAATGGAGGTACATAAAGAAGAAAGTTTATTTTCCCAAGATTAGCATAACATGCCATTTAAAATACTTAGGTTTTGAAAACAATATCAGGAATATGGTGTCCGTTAGCTGCATCATACTGTTGCAGTCGTTTTCGGAAATTTTCTACAGCACGTTCACACATATGGGGAGGTATGGCCATAACCTCAGCTGCAATAATCTCCCCTTAGCTGTGGTAGTGTGTGAGGGCGACTTCTGGACACCTTTCTTTTAGATGTCCCCAAGGAAAAAAATCACAAATGCTCAAATCAAGTGACCTAGCAGGCCACTGTAAATCACCCCTCAGAGACACCAGACGTCCGGGAAACATGCATTTCAAAACATTGAGTGACATTTGGGCTGTGTGACCTGTAGCCCTATCCTGCTGGAACCACACGTCTCCCAATGCTTCATTCTCAACAATGTTTTCCATCCTGGGCTGCAAGAAATTTTGCAACATTGCAGCATAGCGATCGGAAATCACTGTTATGGTTACTCCCTCCTCTGAGAACGACTCCAACAGTGTGTTGCAGCAAATGGCCCCCATCTTCCAGATATCATTTTCGAAACATAAGTATTCTAAATGGTATGTTATGCTAACCTCTAGGAAAATAAACTTTCTTCTCTATGTACCTCCATTACTCTTTTATTTTACCTCAAAACTGCTCAATCAGTTCTGCCGCACACTGTATATTGAGAGGTTGAGATTGTATTGACCTTTTAGGCAATTAGAAAGATTTTCCACCCTAATATGAGTATTCTAATTCAAATACCATATTTAATTTCAATCTTTAAATATGTGAATTTAAAACTAGAAATAAAAAACAATTATAATTATAAGACTATATATAAAATAATTAAATGCAGTGAATGGATATAAAATATTTGAAATGTGCACATGTTTATTTCAAACAGTGTTAGCTTTTCTCATAACATTAGTCTCGTTTCAAGTCATATGAGGATTGTTTGGTTATCGTTCAGTTTATGTTTAGTATTGGTTTATTGGTCTGAATTAAATGGGAAAATTGCAGTCAGTCACTCAGTCACTACTAGTCGGTGTGTATAGAGGGTTGAGTCTGGTAGATTTATAGGACATGAAACTAGTAGATTAGATCTACTGACAGTGCTGTGCACTGTGCTATCAGCTACCTATCTGTTATGTGACTCTTCAATGTTTAGAAGATCTGCATTCCTGAAGTGTTTTTGTATATTGAAGCCAGTTAAATGGTCAATATTTAGCTCATTACCTTGCTCCATACAAAATGTTGCAAAGCTAATGAATAGACTTATCAATAATTGTTTACCCAAAAATCCCTAAGTGGTAGGTAAACACCACCTTGGCCTGTTGGCCATTATTGAAGGCAATAAGTGCCCTTTTTAGCCATCAATTATGATCCATATACTGTTATTGCTAGTAGGCTAATTGCAACATAAAAAATAACACTTCAAAAAGACAAAAAAGTTGAAAAAGTCAAATAAATCAAAAAATCATGAAAAAATGAAGAAAAAATCGTTGATTTTTGATTTAAAAAAAAATTTAAAAAAATCACAAACCCTGGTTGAGAGGTGTACAATAATAGATTGAATAGTACTTATAGATGCTGAAGTTGGAGTATGGAGCCCCAGGCAAGTTTCTCTTAGTGAGAATGACAGGCAATCCCCTAGCTTACTGTGCTGAGCAGAAGAAATATCCTAATATGAATAGCTATCAAGAAGTCCCATGCCAATTATCCAATTTAATTCAGGAAGGGAACAATGTCAACTATAATGCTTGGGCTTTGAAACTTGCTAATATGACTTGACATAATATCACATGCAAAATCTTTTTCAGGTGAAGATAAACTCGAGAAAATCCAGAACCTCTCAAATTACTATGCATTCTCTAATGTAAATGTTTGAAAAATGCAATGACTGCTTCCCATAGCTTGTTCAAACCAAGCAATCATAGCTCACTCAATGCATTTCACAACAACCAATTTTAATAGCTATCGCTTATGGTTTTCTTTCTATTTTTCCCTAATTTGTGGATGCATTCTAATGATTTACTGACAGAAATAATTAGGTTAATTAAATAATATACCTATGCATTGATCCAGGACTTGGAGAGTGCAATTCCCATTCATAAAAATTTTTTAGAAAAATACTATTGTAAGAAGTTGCACTTTAATTTTTGATTAAATATAGCTTCAGCTGCAACAGGATAATTTCGTCCAAAAATTCTTTCACTCCAATCACAACTAAGCAACAATATATGTAGGTACTTCATTAGCAATTCCAGAATGACTCACTCACTCACAGCTAATGTTCATGAGTTAAAAGGAAAATTATTCTCTCTTACCCAGACTTAGATAGTCCACTTAAAGACCTTATATATGCATGTAAGCACTGAATAACTCAATGCATTACCAACAGCTGCTGGCGGAGGACTCGGCGCACTACTTGCTGTACTCGCTGAACTTCCTCCCCCACCCCCCCGTCACGCTCGTGCTCATGCCCATCGTGCTCTTCGCGCTGCTGCACTTTGCCTCCTACACCCTCGTACTTTTTGATGTATGGCTCTATTTTATATCATTGATTTATTTTTACTAGTACCGTAATAGGTATTAATTTCAAATTCAAGCTCTCATACTCTTTGTTGTATGGCTCTGCTGTATAACATTGATATACTATTAGTTCCACAATAATAGTCTGAAGTGGACGCTCTCATATTCTTAAGTGTGTGGCTCTCTGCCAGAGAGTCGTCTTAATAATATTTGTCTCAAATCTGTCTTGCTCTATGTAATGTAGTAAGAATATTTGATTGATTCAATGAAATAATCTCCATGATGTTCACGACGCCTTGTTTGATCTTTATTTCAAACTTCAATTGGTTGGAATCAAATAAATGAGTAAAAAACATTATTCCAGCGTGAAAGTGTATTTTTATGTGTTGATATATTTTTCATATGCAGTCATGCACTCAGATTGAGTAAAAAACATTATTCTAGCGTGAAAGTGTATTTTTTATGTGTTGATATATTTTTCATATGCAGTCTGTTCTTGTGAGTCCAGCTTCTCATTTTAAGGTTCTTGTGAGTCCAGGTTCTCATTTTGAGGTTCTTGTGAGTCCAGGTTCTCATTTTAAGGTTCTTGTGAGTCCAGGTTCTCATTTTAATATTCTTGTGAGTCCAGGTTCTCATTTTAATCGTAATTTATTGATCGTTATTTTAAAATATCTCCAAACGTTAGGTGTAGCCATAGTTGTTGGTTTACATAATGGAAATACATTGTTTCGTTTATTATATTGAGGAAAGATTGTTTTCAAATGAGCTATATTACTTGGTGTCAGTCCGAGGAGTTTTCCTACACTGTTTATTTTCCTAGCACACCGTGCAAATAACGTAACTGACATGACAATCCTACATCGTCCGATTATAATTATTTTTTTCATGGATCTCTTACAGAAATAATTTGCTAATGAGTAAGTTCTTGGTCGTGAACACCGTTTCTTTGCTATTGCTGAATGCCTGGAACTTGCCATGCCGTCTTGACCTTTAAACATCTTCTTATAACATTTTTGTCTTTTTTGTAAAACGCGTGTCTTATTCTTAAACTTATATCATGTTGTAAAACTTGTATCTTGTAAAAATCTAATATTTCTTGATATAACAGCGGTCGGGTGAGCTTGCTGACGCCCATCGTGTACTACCAGTTCCTGTCTCTGCGCTACCAGTCACGCCGTAACCCCCACACGCGCAACATGTTCCACGAGCTGCGCGTCGCTTCTGAGAAGATGGCGCACCAGCGCTACATGCCCCTCGTCCTCAGGAACCTCATCCTCTCCCTCGTGCAGCGCATCAGTTCCCTCGCTCCTCAGGTCCAGGCGCCGCATTAAGGCGACATCTCGGCCCTGCGCCGGCCGTGGACGGCTCACGGGGGTTGTTTGCTGCTAGCTTGTCACGTGAATGCAATATGACGTGGATGTCCTGTGAAGATATGCAATCTTATCCCTCGTCTAAGTGTCCATGCAGCATTTTATGAGTGCATTGAAATAAAATGCACGTGATGTTATATTGCAAGATATTCACTCCTTGTCCGCTTCATTAACTGGTCACTGACTTTAGTTGATAGTTGAGACATTAATATTTTTCACTGGTTGCCTCTCGACTGCAATATGACTGTTGGAAAATTCACGCTTTTTTAAATTTTACGTTTTTATGCAAACTTCGGACTTACTTGCAAGACGTTTATTCATCTCTACTGAAGACAGTAACTTTGAGTCGCAAGGCATCTTATCACTTTAGTAACGTGAGGCACCAAACAGTGGTGTATGATTTATGATTGAACTACTATGTAAGAAACTATTTAATTTCTGTGTATTACTCTCGTGTATGATTGATTGTTGTCATGTTTATGTGGATGTATTGAGCGTGTCTCATCTTCACAAAACTGGTCCAAATATTACATCTCTGTTCAATTATTACTCTGCCTATTTATATATTGTTGACCGGATAATGCTCCCTATTGTCTCAGTGATGAGTTTACTTGCAGTTCTAATAGGTTTCAATTATTGATACAAATTGATTCAACTTCTTATTTGACTGCTGCTAATGTTCGCCTAGGATTTCCGACGCGCCTCAAGTGATATGAGTGAAATATATTTTTCCATCTGAAATATTTTCTCTGAAACTTACGAGCTCCTTGCGTGAATACTGCATTTTACTGCAACTCGCCTAAGTCATGCGAGGCTTCACCAGCATCTCAATTAGTTGACATTGATGCGAAGTTTGCATTCAAAGCTTCTAAGCAAGTTTATTGAAATTAAGTAAAATGTTAACACAAAAACTGACCACTCAATAGTTAATCTAGCACGTAATTTTTGAAGATTTATTATTTCACTCGTAAACCTAGTTATTCCGACCATCAGGCGGAATTGTTTATTTTTACTGTTTAAACTTAAAAATTGCGTTTCTCTTGTCTCATAAGGTCGTTGCAGGTCATTTTTAACTGTACTCCGTATCACGTTTCACATTAAGGTAAGGACTTCTTTATTGTATATTGTGGGTTATGATTTTTTTGTGGAGTATTTTTACTATAATATTATTTCGTACAGAGAACTTTGCATCTCGTCTTATTACATTGTCTTTTTGTTCACTATTTCGATGCGTAAAGCCTGTCTTCGTACGCAGCTATAGCATCCGTTGCCTGATCGGCTCTTCATTTCGGGCTGTTGGGCAAACCGTCGTGAATCTTGCTTCTGGCTCAACTTTTTGGATAACTTTAAGCGAAAAAGACACAATAAATTTGGACTTGTGTATGATCGTTGTTTTTTTTCTGTTGCTCCAATTTGTAAAGTCTGATGCAAATTGATAGGAACGAAATTAGAAGATATTTTTAACGCTGTCGTTGCATCGACATCCCAGCAATCTGATTCTATAAGCCAGCTAGCTCACCAACAGTGCGGCTGTGTTATCGCTGGAATGCAATGCTTTCGTCCCCCCTATGTATCACGCCTCTACGCACAATCATGCATACCAAAGATGAGTTCGACAAAAAGTTTTATATTTTTTTATACATATTTTTATAAAGTAGTACAAATATATGAACAGGCTAGCTATGATACGAGTTTTCTAGATCGGAGACTGAGGTACGTTAAGACACGATCACTTTTTCGCCAGTCTGCACCAAGTAACATTTCTATCATTTGACAAAAAATGAGGCAGACATCCTGTGTGACCAGGCAGCGTAGGTTCCAACTCCAACAAGTAATGTTTCTGCAAGCATAAATGACACAAACTTTATGTGTATATTAGCGATAAAGATGATGATAATTAGATGGATACTATGATCAATCAAACAAAAGCTGGTATATAATGCGGCGGTTCAGACACAAAAAAGCGGTTAGTGGAGGACGCCAACGACCTTCCTAGTGCAAATGCAGCAGAACGCGAGGAATGCATGACAAGTTATTTCAACTTGAGTGCGAACGCCGCACTGCACCAATGCGAAAATTTCACGTCGAAACCGTATCACTATTTGAAGAAAACATAGGATTAAAGTAGCTTATTGAGAGGAATGAGGGATATCCACTGCACAAAATATCCACTGCAAGCAACTAGTTCATCAAAAAATGGTCTACCGCCCACAAAATGAGAGAGCGGAAAACTTCTTGCCCATTTACCATACACTGTAAATTATTGCGAAATAATTGAACTGCATTCAACAGGACCAACATTCGAGACCGTCTCATTGTGAAGAGTTTAAAGAACTTCTATTTCCTTCACTCAACTGCAGTTAAGTTCAATAGAATAAATCTGAAGTAAGAAGCGAACTTCATTAAATCTAATATAACGCATAATTATCTTCAACCTGAGACCTAACGTCGGATTGTCTGGATAGTTATTTGGAATCAGCGCGTAGAGCCAACCATCTTTCTACTTCAGTAGTTACTGGCAACTTCTAAGAACAAAGCAATGAGGCTAAACAAGGCTACAGTGCATAAACATATTCGATAACCAACAATTAAGTAACCTAGCAAATCTGCCAGAAGGGAGGCGCACGGAAGAATTTCGTAGGTCGCGTGACACCACATGCGTGCCCAAATGAAGGTAAGCACTAATATTAATTTAGCAATAGACCCAATGCATGATAACGACATAACGTGCTACTATCGTGACCGCTATAAATTGAGATGTGGTGGACAAACTATTACAAATCCCAAATCTTATGAGGAGCAAACATGTAAATCTCATCTTGCACTTCAATAACATATCTCGAAGACCAATTCGAGGTCAGTTAAACAATAATAGAAGGTCTACCGCAGAGCGGAGCTTTGGCAGAAAATTTTTCTTCTCAATGCAAAATAATAAGATATTTTTATATAACTTGTACTATCTTGAGAGTTGTTTTAAAAACATCTTCTTAGGCTATGTTAAGCAACGCTACTCGAGTGCAAAACGCATGCACGGTAAATAATTTGGCGCAAAATAAGGAACAGGTAACGTTTAGGGACACGTCTTAAGAAGAGACAATACGAACATGGCCGCCAGTACTGGGGACACGTCTTAAGAAGAGACAACATCAACATGGCCGCCAGTACTGGGGACACGTCTTAAGAAGAGACAACATCAACATGGCCGCCAGTACTGGGGACACGTCTTAAGAAGAGACAACATCAACATGGCCGCCAGTACTGGGGACACGTCTCAAGAAGAGACAACATCAACATGGCCGCCAGTACTTGGGGCATGTTCAGAACTAGATGGAATACAGATTCAACAATACAACAATTCAAAGTATAGAATGTAAAATATTCCACATGAGGTCAACTACTATTAATAAAAAAAGCATGCTACAGCAAAAACAGTGTTATAGAATTTTTGCATTTCATGAAAGCGACGAAACTCCAACGGAGAATATGAGCAGAGAAATTAACAGCTTCGTTGCACGAGCTGCAGTGGCTTAACAATTACTGAAGCTCATTTAAAAAAATTACTTATATCTGTAACAAACGATGAAATTGATTCTTTCGTTGCGAGCTTCACAAATTTCTTAACAATTTCTAATTTATCGATTTGGTGTTACTAAAAGTATTAATTTAAAAGTAACGAAAACGCCAAGTAAATTCACCGTATCTCCAACTAAATAAGAATATGGAAGATTTTACGTTTCCTTGCTTTCCTTTCTTTCTCCAAGAATTTGCGTTTTCTTGCTCTCAAATTCTTGGAAACTTCTAACGATTTAAACAGACTAATGATCTAAGTAACTTAACAGGAAGTACTACTTTAGTTAAGGCGAGTCCTTAAAATTAGTAACAAATCTTGGATGGGTTGGGCGTGTGAAGCGAGGCACTCACAATCTTGCAGCTATCAACTCCTGGCTCCTCAAGTGACTCCAACGCCCAACGAATTTTTTCTCCGAAGCTACACGCTTTTTTGCGTCTAAATTTCAAGAATCTGAAAAGCTCCAAATAATGACATTAGTCATCTCATCTCAGATCATTTGATAAACGGCAAAGCCTGAGCTCAAACCAGAACAATTGAAAAGAGGCACTGAATAACGTTAGGGAAATAAACGGATAATAAGCAGCTGGAAGGGATGAACATTTCATCTTTCAAGTTGAGGCCAGTAACTAGCAATAAATTTAGTTCACGTTTTTCCAAGACGAGGTTGAAATTTCTTCCCAAGACACCATCTTTTCCTTCATTGATAACCTAGTGCATAGAAAAATATGATGGTAGTTTCTTACACAGATGGAAGACACGGAATGAGGAGTACAAAATCCTCTAGCCCAGGCATGAAACATCAGCACGCCGGCTATTTCAAGTTTGTTCTCCTTAATAAAGGTACCAAAGACTGCATACAAGGCAAGATGCAGAAAGGATACGAGATTGAGCGAGACGGTTGGCTAGCATACTTGTCGAAGTTAATTATACTCCACACCTGTGTGGAAAAATTGTAGCAATGGTGCTGGGAATATTTTCCATTTCCTGTATTTTGTTTCATCAGCTTAGTTCTACAGGTTAACAATTTAAATAATTGGTCCTGATTAATAAAGGAAAATCAGAGGAAGCTTCAACCGATACAGGACTCAAAGCACTTCTTAGCAGCTTTTGTTTCATCAGCTTATTTCTACAGGTTAATAATTTAAATAATTGGTCCTGATTAATAAAGGAAAATCACAAGAAGCTTCAACCGATACAGGACTCGAAGCACTTCTTAGCAGCATCCCTGGCGTAGGGGATGTAGGAGAGCGAGTACCAGGTCATGGCCAGGAACTGCACGAACACCATCACCAGCGCCAGCATCTTGTTGCCCAACTGCAACAATCATGAAAGGAACTTGTTAGTTTCTCAGCAATTAACTAATATAAAATTCATATCAATAAAAAATTCCCATCCTAGAATTGCGTTTAATTGTAACGAGATTGTCCCTTAGACTTAAACAAATTTATTGGTTCATACATTGCATGAACTAGGGAAATTTGAACTTTTATTCTCACTAATTCTAATTTTCAACATATCATTTAATTGATTTCATTACAAAATAAGCATTTTCAAAGAAAACGATCTTACCATACAGGGAATTTTCAAGGCACAAAATAAATTGCTAAAAAAAAAAACTGGATGTAGACAAGCAAATTATTCATTTTTGAATATCACATGATACACGTAGTAAAAGTGTCGGTTGTCCTCGGAATGTTGTAGTTTTTGTAGTTTTACACATGTTATAAACTACTAACTATACTAACATTCATTATTGAAAGGTAAATAATAAGAGATGGAAATGTTATAGGGGAGCATCTGATTATAAAATGAAAATATCTGCTTTTTCATTTGCCGAGATCATTTTATAGCTGCAAACAACAATTTCACTTCTAATGCAGCACGCACTTCTAATGCTTGGTTTGTAAGTAAGGCCGTTTCTATCTCCTAAAAATGTACATTGTCTCCTAATTGGCACAAATTTTCCTGAAAAATGTTTGTATGTTGTTCTTCACAATAAACTACAGAACAGTGAGGCACGAGGCGCATGTAGGTACCCTCATTATGATTAATATCGGCGATGATTAAGCTGATGATACAAAATAAAACATTATTTAACCCTTTTTTAACCTGTGTCAGTTATTTGGCTCATGTGAAAAATTGAATTTTTTATCTTTTAGGGCTTATAACTCCTTCAGTTTATAAGCTAAAACGCAGAGAGATAAATAATTCTTTTCATATTATAGGTATTTATTGATTTTAGCTTTTCTTTTGCATTTGTTGAGTCTTGTATAAAATGGAAAAAATTAGAGATGTGGGGGGAACATCAATAAAAGCCTCCAAACATATTTAGAAAAAATAAGAATAAATAAACAAGCTCTAGATAGGCATTTGTATAACGCCATAACATGATTTTCCCAAAATTTAGACGAAACTGTATGAGTTTGAAACTAATATTAGTTCCTAGTTTTACATTTTTTCCATAAATTTCACATCTTTCATTCTCTCAAAAAATTCATATGATTAAATGAACTTGTACTAGTGTTTTGCAAGTTTTCATGAAATTAGAGAAATATCGTTAATTTTTAAACGAAACTTTGTTTCATGTACATGCTCCCCTTTAAAGGTAACAGTATGAAAAAACACATGGCAGTATTTTTATACTAAATACTTTTTCCCTCTTCGCAACTAAAGACTCACTACAAAGACTGAAATAAGCGTCATGATGAGAGCGAGGATCATGATGATGGTGGCTACGAGGCGCGTGGGGGCAAACATTCTCTCGAGCTGCTTCAGCGGTCCCATCAAGAAGCAGGTGCTGCAAGAGAAATTTGTATCATCACAAATATTCAATGGCTGCCTCAGCTAACATTATACTGTTAATAAATTCTGATTTTCCATGTTTCATGCCATATCAACTTCGGATATTTGCTCTAAGATAGGGATGATATTAGTGTTAACTTTCAAAATGTACATAATTCCGATGGGATAATATGTTTTGCAAATCCATTTGTATAAGCTGTCACATTCGTTGAGGGCTAGTTCATGGCAGGATATATAACCATAAAATTTACAGGAATTCATCAGCTAGGAGACGTTGAAAAACTTATTATTATATTATGATATCATTTTTATTTATCTAAGGCAATTTACTCACCAAGGAACATAAATATTTTAATCACAGAAGCGAAACAAACAAGATTTATAAAATGACACTTTAATGAGAAAACACCTAACGATAACTGCAATACCTAACGTGAATACCTACCTTCCTGACAAGACAGGCATAGTGTGGGTACATCCACCTGACGAGTGTCAGACAACTGAGTGGGCTCATGCACCTGACGAGTGTCAGACAACTGAGTGGGCTCATGCACCTGACGAGTGTCAGGCAACTGAGTGGGCTCATGCACATGACGAGTGTCAGGCAACTGAGTGGGCACCCCCACCTTACACCACAACGGTGGAGGATTCCCTCGGGGAGATCCCTACTCCCACCTCGTACGGGGGTGAGGTGATAATAGGGAGGGATCTCACAGCGCCGGCGAAACATCACATCCCCGCCGGCTTCCGCATGGACTTGACTCCCTCCATTGACCTAACACCAGGGAGCTCATAGCACAGCGGGACAACATCAGTCTGCAAGACCCTAGACTAACTTTCTTGAACCGCGACATTTCATCGTCCCTCCAGGCCAATGATAATGATTCTAGGCGTGCGTACCTAGCAACATGAGTCCGATACACCAACCCAACTAAACACTGGAACTTACTAAGCTCTAAAGCTGGCAAGCGCTCTCGTCCACCTCCAGACCAGCCCATAGTCTTCAACTGCAGAACTCTCACCTCACAACGACAGGTTACCTAAACCGTCTGCAAACAGTTCACTTCTGCCGTCCCCTACGCCCACAACTCCGCAAAACGCCGCCTCAGGCGTCAAATCCGTTCGGGTCACCTTCTCAGACAGAGACTTCCTTCCCTTCACGGATCAGCTCAAATCTGCAAGTAACTCTTCGGCCGCTGGGCCCGACAGACTGACGGTCCTCTACCTGAAACACCTAGGACCACGAGGTATACTTCCTCGCCCAACTCTTCAACATATCATCCTCCACCGCTCCCTCACCTGCCATCTGGGAAAACTTTCTCGTCATTTCCATCACACAACCCGGAAAACCTAGAGATCAAGGATCTTCATACTGCACTAACCCACTCCTTTGCCTCGCTGTTGGAATCTTAGAGCGACTCCTGCTCCCTCACCTCAAAGCTTCACTGATCACTTCCCCGTCCCCACACAGATTTTAAACTCAGTCACTCTACAGTCGGCTTGATCCCTGTACCTCATACCAAATCGCTACCGGCTTCAACTTTAGGCGCCCCTCCCCCGCCCGCACCGTGGCAGCTGCGATCGACCTGTAGAAAGCATTCGACAGTATCGATCACTCACTTCTCATATCTATAATCACTGCATCCACCCTCCACCACAACCTGGTGCGTCGGGCTTTGTTCCAACCTTTGAGGCAGACTCGCACTCTGCCTCTACCTTAGATCTCACTCCCCGCACAGGAGCATCAATACTGGAGTGCTTCAAGGGTCCATCATCTCCCCCGCCCTCATCAACATTTTTTATCTCAGACTGCCCATTCCCACCCTCCTACATCGCTTCCTACGCCGACGCCGTCGATCTTACCATATTTGTCTCCTTCCTGAAACTAGGCATCACTGAGGCGGACCTGGCGATGCAGCAGTCTAGCGTCTGGTCCGCATCCAAAAGACAGGCCATAGCTCCGGAAAAGTCCTCTGTGACACTCTTCACACCCGACACTCATCAATCAATCCAGAGTACACCCTGCCCTGGGAGTCACCGGGGATACCAACTTCACCTTTTCCCCCACGTAATGTAAATCGTCTCCAAAGCAAGCACAATTCTATGCATCCTAAATACCCAGCCGGCACCAGCTGGGGTTTCTCTAAGGAAGTCATCGCGGCCATCTACAAATCTATAACCCGACCAATCCTTATATATGCCGCTCAAATTTGGTATCCCCTTGTCTGCCGTTCCACAGTCGCGGACCTGCAGGTCGTGCAGAAATCTACCTTGAGGCTTGCCACCGGCTGCCTTAAGATGACTACCATTGACCACCTTCCCACCGAAACCGGTCCCTTAGCCGCCCACCTGGACCTCGCTTGCTAGCAGTTCCTGGCAAGCAGCTTTCTTTTCCGCTTGTCTCCGCCCCTCCTGGGGAAAGACCCATAAAGACAACCTTACAGTCCTATTACGGCCACCTCACGGCCTCCATCATGGTGGACGGCTGCCTACCAGCTGTCTCCTATGGTGAAGCCAGGCGAGCCCTTAGCCGGACAATCATCTCTCGCATCTTAGCAATAGCCGAGGCCAACAGGGTCCTGGCCACACCACCCATTCCATTCCCAGTGGAAGCCTTACTTCCTCGCTCCTACCGCGCCGCGCTGGTTATGCTGAGATCTGTCTTTTGTAGTCATCTTACTTCCTACACGTTGAGAATGGGACGCTCCCCAAGCGCGGCTTGTCCAGAGTGTGGAGACCTCCTCCACTCCACGGAGAATTTTATCTCCTGCCCGCCCTTTCACACAGACCTCCCGGTCTCCTCCCTATGGGTCAGCCCTCTCAAGGCTGACGCCTTCCTTGCGTTTGCGTCCGTATCTTGATTTGCTCACCTCCCTCCGCTCGCAATTGCCCCTCAGCGCCCGTCTCCTGAGCCGTCTCCTCAACATACCTTAGCATTTCTCAACGCAACAAACAACAACAACCACCTGACGAGTGTCAAACAACTGTGTAGGTAGACCCACCTGACGAGTGCCAGACAGTTGCCTAATGTGTAAAGGATGGCGAAGATGGTGAGACCAAAAGGCAGGAATATGAGGGCAGAGCCCAGCATTGAGAGCACAAAGCCAAGTATGAAGCAGATGAGGAAGCCCTTGATTCTTGTGTGCCAGCTCAGGGTGGAGCTGTCCATCACCTGAAAATATAATGGCATCAGAGCTGCTGTAGATGCCACTTAAATTTAGTGGTCTATCTAACTATGAGCAAATAGCAGTTCCACAGAGCTGCTGGCAAAGCCATTCTTCACAGAGTTAACAAGACTGTAATTATTGTTTAGGCCAGACAGCAGCAAGTATATACTTCTCGACAGTGTGGGCTACAAGCTCATGTCTATGAGAAAAACGTAAATTAAGGTCATTAGATCAACTGATGAGTGATATAAATAACTACGAAACATGCATGTACTTTTTTAAATCATTGAAATTAAGCACTCAGTCACCAAAAAATAATGCTAATTAGCAGTCCATTAAAATGATACTCTTTGTCAACTGTACCAGTATGCAGAATCATGTATACAGTAAACTTCACATTCCTTCAAGCATACTGCCAAAAAATCATTAACATTAATAATATTTGAAGAATTATCATAGAACATGAAAATCTACATTTCTGTCATGAAACTTCAAAAACCAACTAATCCACTTTCATTAGGAGAAATTAGCAATACAAATTTACTACACAAGTAAATATCAATTTTGTAAAGAGAGCTTTTTCTGTGCAGATGTAGAGGTGAATCAAATGTTATCTCATTCCAGACTTTCACTAATACCTTAATTGTGAGTTAATTAAAAGAAAAGAAAACTTAAAATATAATTTTTCAATTGAACCAATTGAAAATTACATTGAGCTGTCAGGCACACGCACATCAATGGTAAAAATAAAATTGTCAAAAACAGAGAAGTATGATGTTCACAGCATAATTTTATTCATTGCTTAATAAAAATAGCATATACTGGTAGCAGTATATCTGTATAATTAGCAGATTAGTTAAATTTTCATGGCATGGCTTCTTAAGGTGGATGCCTAATGAAGTAGGAACGGTGATACAGGTAGTTATAGAAGCAAGAATGTGATGATAAAATGCATGAAAAAATATTGATACATTCTAATAACATGATTCAAGTGAATGGATCATTGTCTGTGCATTATCAGAGTTGATTTAGGCAAACAAACTTTTTAGCAAATGCTCTTAACCAACAACTGCACATATGAATTTACTCAAGATCTGCATATATTCCTTACTTAACAGCTGCACAAATGCCCTTAGTCAACAGCTGTGCAAATGCCCTTAGTCAACAGCTGTGCAAATGCCCTTAGTCAACAGCTGTGCAAATGCCCTTAGTCAACAGCTGTGCAAATGCCCTTAGTCAACAGCTGTGCAAATGCCCTTAGTCTACAGCTGTGCAAATGCCCTTACCAAACAACTGCACATAAGCCCTTAACAACTAAACATTTACCCTCACTCAACAGCTGTGCATATGGCTTTATTCAACATCTGCACCTATGCTCTTAAAAATCAAATGTGTGCATGCAACTACTCAACAACTGCGTACAAGTTTCAATATACAACAAATACTCGGAAAAATGCAAAATAGCCATCATTAAGTGGCGATGTGTAGATTTGCAAGCATACCTACCAAAGAGACTCACCCTCAACAATGGAGTATCCTCAGCCTGGTTAGATACACAGAGAGGTAGTGAAAGTTAGCCATTAATAGTATTACCCAGCAGTTTATCTCATTGAAAGGCAAGCAGAAGTAAGTTTAGAAAGTTTCCATCTGAGGCTGATACCAAAAGGTAAAAAGATTATGATGACCAACCCCTGAAAGGCTGATAGGTACCAAAAGGTAAAAAGATCATAAAAACAAACACTCATAAGCTATTTGTCTTAGCTCACTGAGTAAACTACCTTGCTCTTATTTGCTCCTAATTAAATGTATAGGTACCGTAAAATGGGGTTACTTTGACCGGCGGGGTAACTTTGACCACATTTCGTTTTTTAAACAAAAACCCCCAAAACTCAAAAACGATTTGACATAGAAAAATTTTGTCAATGGCCATCAAAGGCCTAATACTGAGGCTACGTAACACAATAGAAAGATTTAAAAAGTTTGCATATCTAATAGGTTAAAAAATTAAAAATGTGACCCACGAGAAGGAGCTATTATTTAAAGCCTGTCGGAGTACCTCCTCCAATTTTTTTATTTTTTGGTAAAATAACTCCAGGTTTTGATGCATTGTAGTAGAACTCTTCTAGTTACATATGCAAAAGACAAATTTTAGAAAAGTGACATAGTTTGCAAATGGGGGGTGCCGCCCCCCAATGGGGTAACTTTGACCACCTAATGGCAGCCATGACGGGGTAACATTGACCGACTTGGAAATTAAGTTAAAATTACCATAAAATATAACATATTTTATGTTTGATACACCTATTAATGTTTTTTTCTTTACGTTTCAGACTCTACAGAGTCTTATATATGGTAATTTTAACTTAATTTCCAAATCGGTCAATGTTACCCCGTCACGGCTGCCATTAGATGGTCACATTTCGCCCATTTGGGGGTGGCGCCCCCCATTTGAAAACTATGACACTTTCCTAAAACTAGAAGAGCATATGTAACTAGAAGAGTTCTACTAGAATGCACCACAACCTGGAGTTATTTTACCAAAAAATAAAATTGATTTTACCACCCGGTCAAAGAAACCCCAAGAGCTGGGGTAACAAAGACCATCACTTTTTTTGAAATTACATCAAAACTATGAAAGGCAGGAGCCAGCAATTTATGATGAGTAAAGCTAGAGTATAAACCTGTATTTTGCACATTTCAATTTAAATTTAACTTATCTAGTAAAAAAATGGCATCATTTTGAAAAAAATAAGTGGTCAAAGTTACCTACTCCATTTTATGGTAAAATAGGTACTTCAACACTAGAGAATGATGAATATTATAAAAATATAAGCTTATGATATCTTATACCTAATCATAATATACCTTATATAGGTACATCTCAGGAGATTTGGGCACGTGGAAACAGGAGAAGTAACAATTCAGTACCATACAACTGAATGATTTGAAGTAAGAGGAAAAATTGAATGATTGAATCAAATGATATGTCCCTCAATGTTGTAGCACAGAAATTAAATGAGGAAATAGATTTACAACGGATTCTCCATTTTTGCTGTTTTCTATGCATTTCACATTATTTTCACTTTATTAAAAAACTCATTAGCAACATGTTTTCCTTTTTTAGATTTACATAAGTATACAAAGTTTCAGAAAGACCCATCATTTAGCTTAGGAGATCATTTTTATGGGAGACGCTTTTGTTAAAGAATAGTATAATACAATTAATTAAACCAAAAATTTTAAAATCATTAAAGCTTCAAAATCAAGAATTCACATTCCTCATAGGAAAACTACAGTGATTTTTGGAAAAAAATTGTCAAGGCCTGCAAGATAGTTTTTTCATAGTGCTGCAGTGAGCAATAGAGGAAGCATATTGGTATAGAAAATAATACAGCAAATATATTATAATAAAAGAAAATTTGAATGCATTGTGTGGCCCATAAATTATTGAAACTAGAGGAATAGCATACAATGGTAGCCTTTTTGCCTTAACACCGCACATTCTGTAAAACATGTAGAGCTCTATTGCATTATCTGAAAAAACCAATAGATGCAGGGGACAGGGGTACAAGCTGCCCTCATAAATATTGATTTACAATCAGTTGGGCCAATGGCAAATGATCAATAAAAATTGCAGTGCCTGACAGGCACAGGCTGACATCAGTGCATGGTATGGATAAGAATTTATATGGTGTTGACTGATTAATCCATTTTGATCTGACCTGCAATTTTCATGGTCATTAATTCTGTCAATATGAATGACAACTTGATAAGATGAGGCATTATATTGGAATTAAATATTAAATCATCAGTATAATAATCAGGGTTGGCAATGATTAAATCATGTGATGAAATCACTTGATTTTTTTATAAAAAAATCATGATTTTTTCCATTTTTTTTTTATTTTTTTCATATAATTAAATATATTGAGTGGCAGTCTTTAATTTATATTGAGGTATTGTTATTCATGGTTTAGTTTAAATGTAATATGAATGACAAATTGGTATATAAACTTGTTGCCTTTAGTGTGTATTAGGTTCCAATAAATTGAATGTTATTGGTACAGAGGCATCAAGTGTGCAATACATTGTAGCAGCTTTGCTAGCAGCTTAGCTAATTCTTATAAGGCAATAAGTAGTCTTTACCTATTTGACTATTTGTCATATATTGATTACAATATACAATTTAAATGTGTTAGCTAGCTTATACAGGGTGGGGCAGAATTGATTGAACAGTTTTGAGGCAAAATAAAACAGTAATGGAGGTACATAAAGAAGAAAGTTTATTTTCCTCAAGATTTGCATAACATACCATTTAAAATACTTATGTTTTGAAAACAATATCAGGAAGATGGGGTTTGTAAGCTGCATCACACTGTTGGAGTTGTTCTCGGAAGTTTTCTACAGCACGTTCACACATATGGCGAGGTATGGCCATAGCCTCTGCTGCAATAATCCATTCCCTTAGCTGTGGTATGGTGTGAGGGCGACTTTTGAACCCCTTTCTTTTAGATGTCCCCAAAGAAAGAAATCCCAAATGCTCAAATCAGGTGACCTTGCAGGCCACTGTAAATTGCCCTCAGAGTCTGGGAACATGCATTTCAAAACATTGAGTGACATTCGGGCTGTGTGAGCTGTAGCCCCATCCTGCTGAAACCACACGTCTCCCAATGCTTCATTTTCAACAATGTTTTCCATCATGGGCTGCAAGAAATTTTGCAACATTGCAGCATAGCAATTGGAATTCACTGTTAGGGTTACTCCCTCCTCTGAGAACGACTCCAACAGTGTGTTGCAGCTAACGGCCCTCATCTTCCAGATATTGTTTTTAAAACATAAGTACGGTATTCTAAATGGTATGTTATGCTAACCTCTAGGATAATAAACTTTCTTCTTTATGTTTCTCCATTACTCTTTTATTTTACCTCAAAACTGCTCAATTGGCTCTGCCCCACCCTGTATATTGAGAGGTTGAGATTGTATTGACCTTTTAGGCAATTAAAAAGATTTTCCACCCTAATACGAGTTTTCTAATTAAAATATTTAATTTCAATCTTTAAATAAGTGAATTTAAAACTAGAAACAAAACAATTACAATTATAAGACTATTTATAAAATAATTAAATGCAGTGAATCCAGACTGGAATAATGGGCAGATTATTCAGAATACCGCGGGTGAAAAGAGGCTCTTCAAGGGTGAAGTTGGAAAATCGCGGGTGAAATTTTCATCCTCCCGGGTGCTTCTCAAAAATCGCAGGTGAGAATTTGCTGTTCTCGGGCGATTTTACGAAATCGTGTGTGAACAGCTGCTCCCTACCGTCTCTCAACTTCTTGCCCCGAGCCGCCAAACGAGAGGTGCGCTGCCATAGACCAGCAAATTACCTCAAATCAGCCCTGGAGCCAACATCAACCTTCTAAATGCTATTGATATAGTCATCCTGGGGCAGTGGCACCTAAGCAGCTGTACTCAATTGGCCCATCATACCACACGAACTTTAAACCAACAATGCTTCTAGAGACAAGCTGCTATTCCACATAGTTAACGGTTGATACGTTGTTCTCCAATAATTTTCAACCCATACCATCCCCTCAATGGATTTGATCATCGGCAAGCAAATGTATATGATAGGCGTTAGTCGGACGGTTCTACAGGCGAATAAATTGAAAACACTGGTTGTCGGGTCGTTACTATGGACTTCTTAAGAAATTTATGTAGTAGTAAAATATATAATAAATACGATACAAAAGTCACTTGTTTTAGTTGTATAACATAAATAATTTTCAGAATACTTTAGGCAGGGTGGCCCAGTTGTTGGTGGCCCCCACCAAAATTGGAGCAGAGATGTGCAGGTTCAATCCTGGATCTGCATGTACGCCAGTTTCTGGTCAGAATTAACGAGGAGGAGCAGTCAAGCAAAATTGGAGCAGTGAGTTGCGTGTTCGAGACCGCAACAAGCTGTGAATGTTCTGCGTTGTTAAGAATAGGCGGCAGGCATATGGCTGCATAAATGCTGAAACTGTTATTTTTTATGATTTTCATATTGCTATTGTTTATTATTAACATCTGAGCATACCGCCTTCAATTTGCTGGGCCGTATGTATCCAACTTGGTCATATGGCCGCGTATTCTTAAACATGTCCATGTATTCTTATTATTGTGTTATAATAATATAAGTGTCCACGTATTCCCAATACCTATTCTTAATAATATAAGTGTCCACGCATTCTAACTATAGTTTTCCTAATATTCCTTATAATATAACTGTTCACGTATTCTAAATATCGCATTCCTAATGTTCTTTATAATATAGGTGTCCACGTATTCTTAATATTGTATTCCTAATATTCTTAATGATATAAGTGTCCACACATTCAAGTTCCTGAGACGCTTCTTACGTTTTAATCTTTTAAATTTATGTCTATCATATGACTCGTTTGCGATAGTACTCGCATTTAGGCTTTTGAATTGATGATGAAGCTGGTCAGTCCAGTCTGGTCAGCAAAACATTAAACATTTCAATTTAGTAGGCCTTTTATGCTGTTATAGTCTTAGAATTAAAAATTTTATCGTGC